GAATGTGCAGATTCCTCAGCCTCCTCATCCTCACCTTCTTCATAGTCTTCGTCATCATCACATTTTGCCTTGCGTTTAACAACCACAGGTTTCGATTGGCCCATAGGTTTTGCCTTGGATGTGGAAGCCACAGGTCTCGATTGGCCCACATGTTTTCCCTTCCATGGTACCTCCCTTTTTAATGGACCTTGAAATTTAATACAGACAAATATCTTCAACACTAATACAATGTTCACTCTACAATTTCATGACTAAAATCCATAAAAACTCACCCCCCCACTTTATCCGATTAATCGACCGCACAATTGACTTCTTCTTTATGAATACAGTGCATCTGAAGACAATTTTAATTCAAAATTAGTTCATAAACAAAAAATTAATGTCCCTTTCAATTGTCATAAAGAACTAAATTCTATTACAATTCAAAGCCATATACTACAATCACTACTCACAACTACAATTTCCAGCAACACATGCAATCAATCTTCAACAGACAAAATACTCAAAATACCACTCACTCAGAACTCAATGGTTTACATGGATTGCATGAATCTTAAGGTATTACAGAAGAATATACAGACATACTAGAATACAACTCAACAATTGAAAATTGTTCTATAATGCTAAACAACCTCTGAAATTGACATTCCAAGATGCAAAAATATTCACTCAAAGGACACACCAACGTTGTGTGATAGTGTGATTGATTATAGGAACTCTTCTTAGGAAGTTTGCTAGCCTATGAATTTCCTAATATAAGAACCATTGTATCAATACGTTTGGTTGCACAGGATAATTTCAACTATCAATCCATTCAATCATATATTTCACAAACACATACTACACAAAACATTTCATCAGGATAGTTTACCACATAAGCATATCAACAACATATTAACAACAATGACCACACAAAGCATATCAATTCCACACAATAATACACAACCATATGCACAACTGCCTATCCCTACGATAAACCAAAACAAACACAACGCAGGCAATGCATCAGTAAGAACACTGGATCAAACACAAAAAAAAAACCCAAATAAATCACTACTACATCACATATAACTAGTCATCCATTACGCCTTGAAAATTGAAATCGAAATGAACACCAAACATTACAAAAATAAAGAGGCTAAAAATAACAATTCACCAACCAATCCCACATTACTTCCCACCCCTAACTTTACTCATGTTTTCCTCGAACTTTAACCCTTTTTGCGACCCTGGTTAAGCCCATCTAAAAAACCCTAACTTTTTACTCAACTAACGCTTCAACATTTTTTTGCTTAAAAATGATAACTTTACTCATGTTTTCCCCTGAATTAAACCCTTATTGCGACCCTAATTGCAAGTAATTTACATCAAGATTATAGCAACAAAAAAAAACCCCAACTTTTTACTCCCTACCTCCTCAACAATTTTGGGTTACAAACCCTAACTTTACTCATGTTTCCCCCCGAATTTAACCCTAAGGGGTCGTTTGGTTCGCAGGGGGTAATCGAAATAGAATGAAAAACCTTTCCAAGTAGTATGTTGTTTGTTTTGAAAAAAGATAAAAGGAATGGAGCCACAAGTCCACCACCACACCACCACCACACAGCCACACAAACAACTCATTCCTTCAAATTTCCAGCCATCACCCAGCCAGCCCACCAACTAGCCTCCACCTAGTCACACTCGCCACCCCTAGTCGCACCTTCCCTACCCATCACCGTCGTTCCTCGCCGCCAAAAAACCCCACAGCTCTCCTCACCGCCGTGCCTCCCTCTCGTGGTTGCTGGTTCTCCACCACAGCCCCCCTCAGCGCCGCTCCACCCATTGGAGCACACTCCATTTTCGTCCCTCCATTGAAGTTCACACCATGTTCTCTATTCTCCTCTTGTTTATCCATTACTTTAATTGTGAGTATTACTTTCATGTTTATCTCAATTTCATAATCTAGCTATCAATTGTCAACATTTTCAATTTAGGGTTCTTCAAATTTTAATTTCTGGAAATTGGAGTATTAATTTCTCGAAATTGGAGTACTAATTTCTCGAATTTGAATGGTGCTTGAGTTAACTAGTTCTTGAAAACCTCTTGGATAATTATTCTGTGAATAATCTTGGCGGTGAGGGGGGTCGTTCCTCGGGGAAGGGGTGGCGATGGCAGTGGAGGTGCGACTGGGTGGCAATTGGGTGGTGGGGGTAAGGTAAAAGGGTGGTGGCTAGTGTGTGTGTGGCGGTGGAGGGGTGGCTAAGGAAAGGGAATGGAAAAGGCAGGGGGGTTGGGGATTGAGTTTAGAACAATTTTGGGTAAACCCAAAAATAAAAATGGAGAATGGGAATGACGAAAGATGCAAAACAAACACTTACAAAGGGAATCATTCCCATTCCCTTTCTCCATTACAGCGAACCAAACGGCTCCTAAATTACTCTTGCAACCCAGGTTCCCAATTGCGACACTTATTTCAACCCTTTTACAAAAAAACCCTAGATTTGACGATTACAGAAAAAACCCTAACTTTGTCGATTATAGAAACCCTAACAAATTCAGTTCAAAATTTAAGAATTAAACATATAATTATGCACCTATTTCAACAATGGAGGGAGTATATGGGTCTACTTAATCGCCTCGCTCCGCCCTTTCCTTCGAACAAATCTTCAACAATTTCGAACCCTTTCTATCGCTTCACTTCCTTGAACTTTCAACTTTCTATCGCTTCAACTTTCACTACCCTCAATAGCGTAAAATAAATGGAGAGGAGAGGAGAGGAGCTGAAAACTTAAGTCAAGAACAAATTGAAGAGAGAGAAATAGGAAAAGGCGAAAAGAAAGAAATAGGAAAAACTCGAAGAGAGAGAAACTGATTACTTTTTGGGGGAGAGATAGAAACACATGAGACAAACTTCTACATAATGGGATTCTTTTTCCTCGAAACGGCGATCCAGGTCGTAATTTTCAAATTTCTTACAATGACCCTTTTGCCCCTACGAGACACCCCTAAATATCTCTTAACCCACCGTTTGAAACGCCTCGTTTTTAGCAATCCGTCGCAATACACTTTTGTTCCACTTTCATTGGCTGTCAAATTTGTTAGGATTTATATTTTTTCCCCAATTTGATTTCTGCTACTCTCAAACTCAACATTGAAATTCTCTATTTTTGGCTACTTACCCAAATATCTTATGTTGTGCTTTCTTCCGTCTTCTCAACTTAATATTGTTTACAGCCCTTAGATAATTTGATTTCTCGATTCTAATTGGTAGGGTTGTTTCATATTTTTCCCCAATTTGATTTTGTTTCTAGCTATTACCCAAATATCCCTGGCTGTACTGGATCAGCATCAAAAATTCACAAAAAGGCTTTCTCAATAAGGAAATTGGTGACAGAAGAAACAGTTTACAGGGGTTTCAAAAACCTTCAACTACCTAGTAATTACTTGACGATGAGATTGTCAACATAAAACATTATCATACGGCGTCATCGAGTTGGGGAAACAGAGTTACAGGTAGGTTGGGTACACATGGAATGTGTTTTATCTGATTCATCATACACGCAGTCATTTATCTGACATGGCATAATAGATTGACAAACTAAATCAATCAAGAAGATTAACTGGGCAGTCCTCGTACGTTACTACTCGTCTGGGTTCTTTTGCTCAGCTATGATTAAGGATGTTATGCTCCTTTTGCTATGGTCTTCGTACTTTGGTTTAGCTTTCTGTTCAGGGTGCTTCTCTTCTCGTAGTGATACAGTCATTATATTTATTTGTAATGAGCATATGATTTATATATAACATATGCTGGATAATGCTTCATGAATGGGTTGTTAGCTGCTACTAGTGATCTTTTGATGTAACCTTGAGGAATAATTAAGTTTAACTAATGATAAAATCCATGTTTAGTTGTTCCTTCATAACGAATAACAATTATCCTTGTATCTTCTTCCACTGCTTCTGACCTTCTGTCTTCTGTTTGTACACTCAAGTCTCATTGGTGTAGCTCGGATCAATATTTGCGGGCTCTTGTGGTTTGATCAAGCTGAATATATTGGTGCTGGTTCGAGGGGTCTTCGGAAGATGAATAACTTATGAAAATGATATTTGATGATGAAATTTATAGAGAGAGAGATATGACTTGATAGACTATCAATTGACGAGGCACAACTAGGAATTCCCTTCCTCCTTGATACAATGTAGCATTTCTGCTGCAGTTTGGATTCAATGTAGCATTTCTGCTGTAGCATTTCCCTTGTTTTGCTAATTTTGATTACTTGTTCATCTTAGTTTTGTGTTGATTTGGTGATTCATGTTTGTCTTTGTAAAGCTTGTTTCTCTTTCTAGCTTGTCTTCCATGACTTCTTTTCCTTCTTTAGGCTAGTTTTCTAGCTAGGGGAAGGGGGTGAAGAACGTGGTGTAGTTTGGATTGAATGGATGATTATTGATTGATTGCCATACATTGAGATGTTGGACATATGCTAAATTGCTCGGGTTTATTGTTGTAACGCTCTTTAATCCCATTATTTCTTATCATGCCTAGTTTAGTTGCACAGAAGTGAGCTATATTAGACTTCGATTATGTCCATCATCTTGCTAGGATAGTTGCACAGGATTTAATTATCTTGGTTAGGATTGCATGTAGTTGCTTCCGTCGGTATGCTTTTCATAGTTGCACAGGAGTGAATTATATGAATTATCTTAACGCTAGAGGTATTTATCAGTACTTTGAATGCTTCTAAGCTAACGGTATCCACAAATCGTAATCGAGCTTTATTTTATACAAGTGTATTACAACCATATGTGAGTACCACATTCCGATGGCAAGATTAGCAATGAGAGACATAAAGCATCAGATTAAACTTTATGAAGGGAAGGAAAAAAAGAAAGAAAAAAAAAAAAAAAAAAAAAAACTAAAAGGGTATATACCCCCCTGCTCGTGTTTGGATTTAGTTGTCATGTTTCAAGTTCATGTCGGGTAGAAAATCAGTGATAATAGAAGTGCAGCACGCAAAAGATTAAGGAACCTTGTCACAAAACATAACACTGTATTTCTGTAGTATAATACAACCCAATAGCTTTATACAGACATAGAAAGTAATACCTATATGTTTCTTACAAGTGCAGCCTTCTACTTTCTATATTCTAAACCGAAATTTACAGGAAACAAAATAAAATTGGGAAGAAAATGAGAAAGGAAAAACCCTACAAGCATCACCTCAACCTTGTTAGGTGGGAGCATCAATTTCATATTGTTTGTATTTACCAACTTTATACATTCATTTTCAGGTTTTGTATCTGTATGTTTTTATTTCTAACTCAAACCTGCGTCCCTGACATAAGTGGCGGTGAAAAAGCCCTCATCATCTGGTTCACAGTCGCGAGATTGATCTACAGATTAAGTCCATAAATGGTTCTTGTATGATGAATCATGAAATTTGAATTACATGAGAAAGTTGTTGTGAATCAGGGTGCTCAATTTCTTCGTCAGATGAGGTTTCCAATATACTAGGGGTTTCCTGTAAGTTACGGAAATATGGGAACAGAATCAGTACAAGAAGAATCATCAGTTCTGTAAACATCAAAGAAGTTGGAGTTTATGAATGATACATACATCTTGGTTCCTTTGTCGCCGTAGTCCAGTAACTGCCATCATGGTGACATACACGAGCATTAAAATTCCTGAGACTCGGAGCATTGCCAGCTGAAACCAAAGAACATCAGAATTATATTACAATGCTTATTCAGCATGCTCTTTCCAGAAACAGATTAGTAGTTATATTTACTTACGATAAATAGGGGAAGAACAAACTCATGATCATCAGCACCACCAACCACAATTGGCAGAGTATGTCGTAAAATCAGGAGACCGATGAACTGTAAAGTAACATAACAAAGAGATTGATGTCAGGAAATAGGTGTAACAACAAGGCATATTACACGTAAGTATATAACCGTGACAGTGAGAGGAAAATGGTTCTTACAATCACTGCAACCGTGAAACGGCATAAGAGACTTCTTGAAGAAGGTTCTTCAAAGTCAGAGTCTAGAAGATCATCATGATCAGTTGAAACTGCTTCCATCAACTGTGACTGAACTAATTCTCGTCTGCTAATCTGCCAGTTTCTCCTGATAAAATCACCGAATTTTTTCACTTGCTCAGTTTGATCATTGGTAAGCTTATGTCAATTTAAAGTTCATGTCATCATAGCTGAGGAGTTACCTGAAATTCAATGGAATACGCCCATATCGAAGTAGAGGTGGGGGTGCTGAATAACCAGGTCTGAATGGCTGCAATCAGGAAAAGCTTGAAATTAAAAGGTTTTCACATTTGTTAACATATCGTGTTCATGTAAACAGAGTACCGCGAACTAAAATAACAAGGAATTGGAGCTGTAATAAAATGAAATCCAACCTGGTGGCATATTTCACAATTGGTGTCACCTTTCTCGTTACACCACCTCTGTACACATCTGCGATGAGCATACTGCAAGCATTACATGAGCTTCTTCAGCATACATATCTATGTTAATAACAACACTAATCGCCTTCAATAAAATAAATTACTCGTAACAAACAAACACGACTCCAAATTCCCTAGTTAAGAGATGTGAAAGTCACCAAGGACAATCGATTTATCAAGTTGTAATACTATCTTGGTTTCTTTTGCCATGTACTTTAATACAGAATGCTATACAAAAATAAATCATGCTTCTTAAACAGTTGGACATTAAGGAAACATACACCATACATGAGCATTGTTAAAATTTAGCTTTTAATTTTAAAAAAATGGTCCTAATGTAATATTCCCTCCGTCCCAAACTTATATGTATGCAAAATTTCTAGTTCATCTCAAAATTATAATAAAAAGCTAAGTTCATGTACACTTTTAAACTTTACCATATTACTCTTAATGATACCTTTATATCGATTCCACAAAAAGGTCAAAGATGCATATAAATAATCAAAATACTAGTAGTTTTTTATATTAGCCATGTTCAATCTCAAATCAAATATGACCTATTATTTAAAAACAAACAGAGTCGAAACTAATACAAACCTTCAAACTACCAGAACAATAACAAGGAGTCTCCATCTTAGAATCAGAATCCTCATCTTGGCATATCCTACACTCCACAACTTTCCTAGGAGATGATAATTCTCCATCATCTTCCTCTATTGGCATTAAGAACTCAATATCCTTGCCTTCTTCAATCTCCTTTGCTCGATTTCGACTTTCGATTGCGGCATGTATCGTTGATTCTGTAAGCAACCGGTTCACCAGTAATGCTAAATGATCACCCATCTTACAAGTTACAACCCCAACTGTACAACAACTTCACCAATGATCAACTGTATCCTGAAATTCAAACAAAAACATCTTATTATTGAATTATACTACTATTAAACAATCATACCAACCAAAAAATACAAGTTTTAAGGAAAAAGGGGAATCAGGAAAAAGTTATGAAATTTAATCCAAGTTCATAAAAAGCAAAAGATTTCACCTTTTTACAAAAAAAAAGTTGATTATTTACAAATTACTAGAGGAATTAACAAAATCCCAAAAAGGGTGGAAAAAGGCGGCTGACTGAAAAAAGAGAAAATCCAGAAAAGGGGGAGCAGGAAAAAGGAGACAAAACCCAGAAAACAGAAAAAGGTGTGATTTTTATGAATTAAAAACCAAAAAAACAGAGGATAAGAAAGAAAGAGACTTACAAAAGAGGGAAAGAATGTGTAGAAAAGGGTGAAATTATGAAGAATTAATGGAAGTATGAAAGAAGAAGAAGCAAGAGATAGAGTAAGGTGGGTTTAACAAGGGAATAGAAATGCTAAGCAAAGCAAAGCATTTTTATTGAAATTATGTTATGTTTTTTTTAAAAGGTTTGATTTGTTGTTGTTGTTCTTCTCTCACGTCCTTTTGGGATATTTTTGTTGAAATTATTAAAATGATATGTTGGTGATCAATGAAATGAAAAGTGGGTTGAGATTCTAACGGTGAAATCAAGCACCATTATCCCACTACTTTCGTCTACGTTGACCATTTTTTGTTAACCGTCTATTGTCGTGGCTATTGGTTACTGATGTTAGCCTATATTCACTCCAATAATAAACAACTGATATACTATTACGGATAAGTTTGATCCGTGAGAGGTTTTGGCCCACGTTCCTATAAAAGTAAAAAATCAATTAATGTATAAGTCTGTTAAACAAATTAACATAAATATCTCAATTCTACATCTGTTTAGATTATATCAATTGATTATAGAAATTATTCAATTAAACATTGTAATAAATCCAACTAGATTTCAAACGGCTACTGAATTCATATAATTAACCATTTTATTGTACATCCTATGGAGTAATATGGTACCTTAGCTAAATTTCGACGTTTGACCAAAAAAATTTCGACTTTAACCCACCATTGTGCCGGCCACATAACCTGGCCTTAAATGAAGCTTTCTTCCAAGTTGTCCAAAATATTGATTGGTTACTAAATTAAAATCATGTCAACAATTTCACTCATTTGGTAAGTCTAAATAAATTTTACTTCGTACAAATTGCACACAATTTTCTTAGAGTTTTCATGTTTTGTACACGTGTAATAAGTTAGTTATGTGTGGATAATTTTGTCAATACATATGTGATTCCCGCCAAGGAGTTGGGAATTAGGTCGTGTATGGCCAACTCCAATTCCTAGTAAATCTGCCTTTTTTTTTTTGTTGTCTCCGTTGAAGAAATGTTTGATGACCATCTTTTAATTGTGGTAATGCAATACGCCAACCCCTCATAATATTCTTTTTTTTTCTTTTCTTTTAATCATATTTTTTTAAGCATTCTTTTAATCATTTTTATTTTCTCTTTTTCTATTTAGTTGACCATGTATTCATAGAGTATGATAAGAAATGGTATGAAGATTCTAAGTTGATATAATAGATTTATTCTAGTGCATTTGAGATGTTATTTTATTTGAATCACAAGAGATATATGATATAATTACTCCTTAATTCAAAGTTATACTAGTTATCAATGGGTTGGATTGGTGAAATTGACACACTTTCCAAATTACAATATTGTTCGAACGACTTGACCTAGATCTAAAGTTTGGTACAAGTGGAGGCTTCGTAAAATTGTAATTGAACAAGACCAAATCGATTCGACTTACCAAAACATTAACAAGATTTAAGTTGATCAATCAACAATCAAAGAAAGTTGTTAAAATCGCGATCTGTATTTTACTCCCTCCATTCCTAAAAGTCATTTCCACACGAAATTTTGACACTATTTATAAGATGAGAGAATCTTTAAAAAAAAAAAAATACACATTTCAGGTTTTATTTGATTTGTTTTAATGAATACATTATGAATATCCAATTGTTATATTATTTTTTTACTAATATGCAATTGATATTATTTATGGCCAAAGTGATGTATTGCGAATGTCTACAATCAAAATGAGAAGAAATTTTAGGAATGGAATGAGGGAGTATGGTTTTGTAATCCTATCATCCAATTTCACTTATTTAAACAATCCAGATTGCAAGCAAAATCATTTTGCATGTAGGATTATCGTAGGATAAGTCAGGATCAATTAAGATCTTACAAAATCATTCAGTTTGGGTGATCCTAGTGTTTAATTAGATTGTTGCTGGATTGGCTAAGATTGGTTAGGATTTTCTAAGATTGTTAGGACAATACAAGATCAGTCAAGAATGGAATGAAGTGACTGATCTTGATTTTTCACTTAAAACGATCTTAAAAGCAATTAGGATATGTTCAACTCACCTGATTTTCACTTATTAGAACTTATCTTATTCAATTTGAACTAATATGAACTTACTTAAACTTATCCAAATTTATTAGAACTTATTAAAACATATTTTAGTTATAGTTCGAATTTGGGCAACCTTTATTAAAACTAATCTTATCTGAATTTACCTGAACTTATCTAAATTTATTGGACTTAAAATAAGTAAAAATAAGGTGAACAAAACATAACCTAATTAAGCCTTTCGTATCTTAACCTCAAAAAAATTGTCCAGCTGCATGAACATAACAATTTCTTTCTCATTTGTTTATTTGTCTCACTTACGAATCTATCTGGACTCGCTCTGCAATACCAATCTTAGTGAGATCAAAACACTATATATTTTAAGCATTGGCGTGTTTTTCCACTTATAAAATATAAGTTTAGGTCTATTAAGTTCATATAAGATCAGATAAATTTCAAAAAGCTCTAAAAAGCTAAATTAGGTTTAATAAGTTAAATAAGGTTTAATAATTTTAAACAAGTTCAATAAGTTCCAATAAGTTCAATCTTAATATAATAAATTATTTTTTTAATAATAAAATATTAATTTCTATATATCATATTAATTATAGATATTTTAGTATAACATTTAGAAGAAAAAACTCTTATATAGAAAATTTATACTTCACTCTACTCATCATAGTTAAAAATTATATATATTCTATTAGATGGTTTTGGATTATAATTGAATAGTTAGACTTAACAACAACAACAACAACAACAACAATAATAATAATAATAATAATAATAATAATAATAATAATAATAATTCAATTAGGGGTTTTCCGCGTGGTACTATATCATGCGGAAGAGACGGCTTGCATGCTCAACACCTTGTGGATTGTTTGAGTGGTGCTGCTATTGCTATTTCAAATGAGTTGGTGGACTCTAATACGCAGGTGGTTAATCTCTTTCTCGTTGGGAAATGTCCTGCTGAATTGGGAGCATATATTGCTAGTGCTCCTCTCACGCCACTTGTTAAGTTTGGTGGTGGTATTGGCCTATTGTTGTGGGTATTGTTCGGAGGCGTCTGGTTTTAAAGGTTGGGGCTGCTTTAATTGGTCCACGTCTGGGAAGCTATTTAGGAGGTCTTTAGTTTGGTGTTGGGTGTCGGTGGGTGGTGAAGCTATTTTTCATGCAAATAATCGTTTGGTTAAGGCTCGTGGTGGTGATGATTGGCCTCTAGATGTTACTGGTGGATTTCCAAAATGCCTTCAATTTGGTTGACCATACGGCTTTGTTGCGTGAGGTTCGTCTCCGATGTCCTACTCTCTCGCGTTAGGTTGAATTCTGTTAAATTTCTCTAGCCAGGCTATTTTATGGCGAGCATACCTTATGGTAATAATGTCAAGGAGTGTAAGAGGGTAATCCTCTTGGCCCTTTTCTTTTTGCTTTGGTTCTCCATCCATTGGTGTGCCGAATCAAGGATACTTTTGACTTATGTTTGCAGACTTGGTATTTGGATGGACGGTACTATTATTGGTGACACCTTGGTGGTAGGAAAGGTTATGGAGTTGATTTTGGTGGAGGGACCTCGTCTCGGCCTCCATGTAAATGTTGAGAAAACGGAAGTTTTCTGGGCCACGAAGGACCCACGTAGCCGTCTCGTTGGTGTCTTTCCTCCTAATATTGCTCATCCTATGCATGGTGTTAAGTTGCTTGGTGGTCCTGTCAGTGCGGATACCTCTTTTAGTGGTGAGCTTGTTTCGCAGAGAGTGTTGAATACCATTGTGCTAATGGATGTTGTTTCTAAGCTTGATTATCCCCAATGTGAGTTGTTACTACTTCATGCGTGTACTGGAGTTTCAAAACTCTACTTTTCTATGCGCACTTGTCCCTCTCGTCTTTTTGAAGCGGCATAGATTTCTTTTGATGTGGCCCTTCGGGATTCTTTGGAGCGCATTGTAATTGCTTCGGGGCCTGGTTTTGGTGATTGGTAATGGGACTTGTCACCTTACCTTTTGCTTATGGAGGACTGGGTGTTTATTCAGCTAGTGATGCTCGGCACTATGCTTTCCTTGCGTCGCGTTTGCAATCTACTGGTCTTCAGGCTACGCTTCTTCGCAATTCTGGTATTGTTAGTCCGGGATCGGCCTTCGATATGGAGACTCACCTTATGAGTAACCCTAGTGAGATCGGTGCCCCCAAACTCAGGAAGAAATTGGCAGATATATATTTCACGAAGCTTACTGCATCTGCAAAATCTACTTTCTCCTTATCTCCGCATCAGGTTGCCTTATGGAAGTCCCTGTATGCAGGCGGTCCCAATATCGGGTTTGGGTCAGACTATGAATGGTAAGGCTTATCGTTGTGTTCTTTGCTACCGGTTGGGTGTTCCTTTATTCTCCATTTCGACACCGTGTTCTGCTTGCTCAAGGGTTTTTGATGGGGATATTTATGGGGATCTGCAATGTCTTGTGCTGGGATGGTGGATATTAAACATCGACATAACGTTGTTCGTGATACCCTTGTTGATAATTGTTTTCGGTCTGGGATTTCTGCAAGAAAGGAGGTTAACTTTGGGTTGACCGGAGGGAACGATGGGGCTCTTCGACCTGCAGATGTGTTGCTTTGTTCATGGGACAGAGGCCTTTATGTATGTGTTAACTTGACGGGGTCTTCTCTTTTAACACAATCGGGGTTGTCTGACTTCGTTCGTCCTAGTCGTGTTGTGTCGGCTACAGCTTAGCGGAAGCGGAACAAGTACGAGGCGCGTTGCAGGGCTATTGGCTATGGTTTTCTTCCTTTCTCCTTTTTTTATTGGGGGAATTAGATAAGGATGTTGTTGCCTTGCTGAAGCGAGTTTAGGCGTTTGCTAGGACTCAGGATATTGGTGCTCGTGCAGTTGCTCACATCTTCAACAGGATCGGATTCACTCATGCAGATTATTATTATTATTATT